CTGTGCACCTTCCCCATCCCTTTCCCGTTTTGCACGGGACCGTCCTTGCTCCGCGTCGTCCCCGAGCAGGAGGCTCCCCAGGACCGAGGGGGGTGGGAAAGGGGCAGGGCTGTGTAATTAAATTCCGGTGCCCGGTTAATTGCTGTAATTTGACGCTAACTGTACACCGCGGGCCGCGCTGGGAGCGGCGGTGCGGAGCGCGCCTCGCACGGCCCATTGACCGCGCCCCGCCCCGCCGACGCGCAGGAGCCGCCGGTCCCCGCCGAGGGTGCCCGGTCTCCGCCGACCCGGGCTCGCTGGGGCGGTGGATGAGAAGGGAAGCCCCGCAGGAGCCGACGATTCGAGTGCCCGCGGCCCCGGCGTTCCCCCGGGATCCAATGGCTGCGGGTCTCAGCTCTTGCTTCCCTCTTCCCACCTGCCTGGAGACAGGGCAGGAACTCCTTTCTGTAAGGTCCTCGTATCTAAGCCCTTATGGTGGGGCGAGGGAGTGATCCCCTTCCTGCTACTGGAGACTGGGGTCAGCCCAGGACCCAACCCAACACAGCCTCACTGGTGGGTGACAATGCACCCTGACATCCAGGAATCCTCAAACTGTCCCATACCTGGGACATGATGCCCCATTCACCTGTCTCTGAAATGTGAAAGGGCTTGCTGTGCAACTGAGAAGTGGAAGTTGTTTGCATCCCTCCCCAAAATCCTGCGGCTGGAGTACTGCTTCTCCCCACGCCCCCAGTGCCCTGCCCCTAGAAATGAGGCAGAGTCCGTGCTTCCTCGCTTTTTCGGGGTGTGAAATCAGGGCTGCGCGACGCACTGGCTAGCTTCCAGGGCACTTCGGCACTTGAATCCCCGAGGGGAAAAAAACAACAACAAAACGTGGGCGGGGACAAGGGGTACGGACATGGAGAGGCCCAAGTGCCACAGGCTGTCGCAGGCCAGCTTCCCCCGGGGGAACGCAGCATCCCTCACGGCACGGCGCTCCCGCTCAGCCCGGCGGGACAGACCCCTGCCAGCCTGGTGCGCCGGCTGCTGCCGCCCGCCCCCTCCTGGCCCCCGTACCAGGGGCTGGAAAGGCTGTCTGTACTGGGGGGGATGTCTTTGTTTTTCCCTGAACTCCCCAGGCAATTTGCAGTGCTTCCGTCACCCATCTGGACTAGTTCAACCATGCCGGTGCTTTGCCTTTCTGGGCTACTGATATTGTTGTTGTTATTATTATTATTATTATTGTTATTATTATTGTTATTACTACTAAGTCCATGTAGTCCTTGACAGCTTGCCCCCCGAGATAACCTTCCACCGGCCCCCCGGGGGAAGGTGAAGCCTGGGGGGCTCTCCCGCCCCTACCCCGGGCGGACACCTGGGCGGACAGAGCTGCCCCGGGAGCATCGGGACGCTCACCCGGCTGGAGGAGCGCCGGGACGCGACACCGTGGCGAAGCAGGCAGGGGTCCGGCGGCTGCAGGACGCCCGGAGCACGCTCGGGAGCCTCCCGGGGGGCAGCGCGGCCGGTGCCCCGGGAGCGGTGGGGCCGGGCGGGCGCGGTGGGAGCGCGGTGGCGGGGGGCAGCGCTCAGGCAGCGCGGAGGCAGCGCGCAGGCGCGGGCAGGGAGCAGCCAGCTCTTTATGGCCAGGTGAGAGAGTCCCGGCTCAGGTAAGGGGAGGATTTACCCACAGGCGTCCCAGGCGAGTGGCTTGCCCTCGCAGTCCATGACCAGCAGAGACCTGGGGACTCGGAGCCCGCAGCCAGGATGTCTATCCTTGCCAAGATGGGGGACTGGCAGGTAAGGTGACCCTCTGCCCTCCGGGGGTTTATTGTTACTTTGGGACGGGAGGCAGGGCTGGAGCGAGAAAGGTGACGGGCCCGGAGGGAGCTGGGGGCGAGCCTGACGCTGGGGTTGGGTGTTTTGCGGCCCTCGGCGCTGGGGCTGCCCGCGGCCACTCGTGAGGCCCGAGTGCAACAGGTAGAAAGCGGTGGACTGGGGTCGACAGGGGCGAGGGCTGCTCCGCCGCCGCCGCTAGTGGCACGACCCCGGCAGCGTGGGCTGGCCGAGGGCGGCGAGTGCCCGCCCGGCGTCCCTGTGCCCGGGGCTGGCGGCGGCCGGCCCGCCGCGGAGCCCTGGGGCTGCCCCGGGACGCGGCGGGACCCACGCGGGGCAGGGCCCGCAGCCGCCGGCGTGACCCGCCAAGCATCGGGGACTTGCCGCGGGAGCTGAAACCTCTCCACGAGCTCCCACCCCGCCTGTCCCATGGAAAAATAACGCTGCCTGGTCCCACCCGGTAGTAGATGCGCCGGGGGCACCCGTGGAAAGCACTCCCGCGGGATGAGCTGATGGGAAAAGCAGAACCCATGGGCGAAAGAGGCCGGGCCGGCAACACGCGGCCCGCCGGGGCTTCGGCCGACTCCACGGACCCGAGGGGACCCGCACGCACCACGGGCGAGACTACACGTGTGGAGAGAGTTACGGAGGCTCACGAACCGGGAGACTCTTGAAAAACCCTGGAGCGCCCTGATGCCCGTCCGCTCGGGCCGGATGACCGCACTTCGCCGACTACTGGAAGGGAAGATGCACCGTCCTGTTCAAGCACACGGGATTTTCTTAGAGAAAAGGATTTTTTAAGAATTTATTTCTTCCCCAGGACAGTCCAGTTCCAGGTGGAAGCCTAGTTTCTTTTTCTGCTCCCAACTTTTAGAATCTCTCGACTAAGTCTTTCCTTAGAAGACCTTAATTTTTTTTTTTAATTTATTTAGGGTAGCAGCAAGTCTTCTACAAAAGAAAAGGGGAAAAAAAAACACAACTGTGAGGGAACAAAATAACTAAACAAAAGTTATTTAAATTATTTTTACATCGGCTAACATGTTTTTATCAGACCGGTGCAAAAAAGCGATCAAAAGAAGATTTTTCTTTTCTTTCACTGAAATCAATTCTTGCGCAATCTTATTTGCGACTTATCTGCCTTGAAATCTAATACTGACTTTGACTTGCACCCCGGCCTTCCTTGCTCCTTCTCCCCGGCGCTGCGGGGTCCCCCTCGCCCCGCCTGGCCGGAGGGGCCGGGAGGCGCGGACTCGCCTCCCGCTGCCCCGTGTGGATCTCTCGGAGAAAACCGCCCCCTCCCCTCGCAGCCCTGCGCTCCGCCGGCTCGGGGAGAGAAGGCAAAAGGGTCAGGCCTTTGGCCCACGGGAGTCCCGAGCAGCCGCAGCTGGGAGGCTGTCCCGGGTGGGAGGCTTTCCCGACCGCCCCGGTTCAGACAGGACGGCGCTAAGGGGCGATGGGCCCCTTCGTCAACCCCCTTCCCTCCTCTTTTTCTCATCTCCAGCACCCCCCCGGGGCATTAACTAGGCTTAATCTGCCAGCTCCATTTGAACCTCAATGGGAGTAAAAACAACAATTTACTCTCCTGCCAGTGGTAGACAAAAGCGCTGGTGAAAAAGAGCATCGGGGGTGGGAGTATGGTGAAGGAGGGGGGAAGGGGAAAGAAAAAAAAAAAAAATCCGTTTAGGGGACATGGATGTTTGTGTGTGTGAAGGAGCAGTCCCGGGAGCCCGGAGGCTTTGCCACCCTTCCCGGCGTGGCGACACGTGGGCCAGGCCCCCGAGGGCCCACTGCGTCTCCCCATCGGAGCGCAGGGGCCATTTGCTCCTAGAGGCAATAAATTTTCCTCCGAAGTCGAGGGCGGGGGGTGGGTGGCCCCGGGAGGGTCTTCCAGGCCGACAAGGCAGGTTTTGCCGTCGGCAAAAGGAAGTTTCGGTGAGCAGCAGGGCAGCCAGGTGCACGGGCAGCCGTGGGGATGCCCGGCTCCTGGGGACGCCTGGGGACACGGCTAGAGTGGCGAGCTGCGCCAGGCCCGACACGCCAGCCCCGAGGAGAGGGGAATGCCTTGCCCTTCGGTGAAGCGAGGGATCACCTAGAGATGGGAGAAAAAAAAAAAAAAAAAAAAAAAAAAAAAAAGAAGAAAAACGGGAAAAACGAAGCCTTGCGGTGGATGTATCAAGGCTGGGCACCCGGGGAAATAAAAGAGGAGAAGGGTGGAGAAGCCCCCGAGGAGGGCAGTCTGAGCGCTCCCTTAGCGGCACATTATTAAGCAAACGAAGCGCTCCACCTAAGAAAGTACCAAAGTTTTATTGTGGTCATTGTTTTGTCCTTTTTCTCAAGTACTTGCAAAAGACTTTGGCTCCTGCTACAGTCAATTTACCACTCGCCCACTTCTATTTGGGAGATAATGTTGGATTTGTTTGGGGTGGTGTTTTTTTTTGAAGACCAATAGCCAACAGAGCCGAGGGAAAAAAAGAAAAAAAAAAAAAAAAGTAGTTTGCGAAGCAAAGAAGCTTTTAAAATATCCACCAAAAAAGACGAAATTCAGAGGGCAACAGAAACCTCCGCAGACAATGACCTCGTTCGAGCAGGACACGAGTCTCGTTTCACCTCGCTTTGCTTCCTTTAGCCTCCGTAGGAAAAAAAAAAAAACCAAAAAAAACCAAAAAAAAAAAAAAAAAAGTGGGTAGGGGGAGAGATAAATCCCATGGGATGGCTTCATGGCTAGCCCCAAACTTTCAGCGGATCGGACGGCAGCCTCTTTGATTTCACTGGCCACTTTCCTCCCCGCTGGCAGGCAGAGAGAGGCACGGGGGCCAGCTGCGGCCCGCAGGCAGACAGGCAGGGCCCACTGCCCCCCCGCGCCGGGGTTCGGCAAGTCGAAGAAAGCTTTTTTTTGTCGTTAATATTTTTTTTTTTTTTCTTGCTCGTTGGTCCCTTCTACCTGTGTCCATCGCTGCAGGTTGTTGTGCTGGCGAGCAATTGGGCTGTTGTTGATATGCTAATGAGGCGATTAGACTGTGGGTAAAGAGCTGGAAAAGGGAAAAGTTTCCACCATTAGAGGGAGATCTCCGAGCGCGGACGGGAGCGCTGCCGAGCCTCCGCCAGCCGCGCTCCCCACGCCGCCCGGCACCGCCACCGTAGGGAGAGGCAAGGCAGAGAGAACCAAATCCTCTCTCTCACGCCAATCCATGAAAATGCTTTGGAAGCTGACGGATAATATCAAGTATGAGGAATGTGAGGTAAGCGCTTCCCCCGGGCCCGGGCAGAGCCCCGGCCCCGCAGCTACAAGCGGGAGCCTTCAGCATCCCTCCGTCTCTCAATTTCGTTTAGGAAAACTTCTGCTCCGTCGTCAGGCTTCCTTGCGGTCCTGCAGCCGGAGAGGGGCTGGGGTCCTTCCCCAGGAACTTCGGGGCTTGTGGAAACACGGCTTTGTCGGAAGTGTATGAGGAAAGGCAAACAAGATCCAGAAGCAGCCTGGTCTATAGGTAGATCTTCCGTAGATAAGGCTCTTGTAGGATGCTACACTCATCCATATGGATGGATGGATGGATAGATGGATGGATAGGCGGCTGGCTGAATGAATGGACAGATGAATGAATGAGAGGGCCAAGAGACAAAGGGAAGAGAATTATTCTTGCACTCTAGGTACCCGAGGCATCCAAATAAATTGGCTCAGGACCGAAGCTTAAATGCAGCTTTTTCGATATATCTGCGGGTTCATTATACCGAGCTGCACAAATTTACAGGGGTCAGCTGCCTAAATGAAATCACGAGTTTTGGGAGCAGTGTTCCCCCAGCCTCCTAATTTTCAGGGCCACATTCCCACGGGTTTGAGACATAGCAATTTAACCGCTTGAGAAAAAAGAAATAAAATCCACCTCATTCGGTTTTGGAGCCGTTCAGCACAGATTGTGTGCGTGCATCTCTCTCTGTGCCTCTATGTGCATCCATATTTTTACAAAGAGGCGAGTGTCTTTTAATTTGACAAAAAGGAGAAGAAGAGGAAAAAGAAGAGTGATGCCCAGGACCCATGCCTAGTCTCAAACCAACGAATACTATTGTCACCCGTTTCGAAAAAGTTGCCTGTGCAGTGGGTACAAACCGCGCAATAAAAGAGTCTACTTTGCAAGTGAACGCTGTTTTTTGGTCGTGACCCACGCGGGAAGATCCCCTCAGCCTCGGTGGAGCCTTGCCGACGTGCATCTCTGGGTCGAAGGGGGCACTCTCCCATCCGACCCTGACGCTGTTTTGGGCGATGTTGTAGTTTAGGAAAGGGACCGAGGATTCGGCAGGCTCAGCGCCGACTAAGTGATTTGGTGATCTAGTCCCTGATCGAGGAGTTTGGGATGAAGCTGTCTCCCGATGCGGGAGCTGAGCTTTAGATCCACTCGTTGGCGGGTGTTTGATTTCTGTGAATGAGGTGTCGGGTGTTGGGGTTTGTGGGTTGTGTAATGTTTTTTTAATTATTTTTTTAGTTGGCTGAGTTGGGTTTTTTTGGTGGTTTGGATTTTTAAAATTTTTTTTTCAACCCGGAAAAAAAGACACATACTCCGCAGCTGCATTTCGGGCGGAAAGCGTGCCTCTTCCTCCTCCTTCCCCTCAGGAGCGGTCTTCCAGTTTGCACACGTGCGAGCGTGTGGATTTCATCGCAAATGGCTTTTGTTGCCTTGCGCTAATGGGACTTCGCACCGAGGTGTTACCAAACACGGAGGGAGCAGCAGCCGCTCCGCGAACCGGTCGGATCTTGTGCGTGCGTGTGCGGTTGGCTCTCCGTGTTTACCTCGGGAGCGGGTGACAGAACATTTTTAAGAGAGGATAGAAAAGAGGGTGGCTGTACCCTGCCGGGGATAGAACCTGCCTTAAAATTAAAAAGAAAAAAAAAAAAAAAAAAAGAAAAAAAAAAAGAAAGAAAGGGGAAAAAAAAAAAAATAAACCCAGAAAAAGGGCATAAAAGCCTAGCCAGCCGCGCTCAGCGCCCGGGGCGGCCGGAGCGCCGGGGGGTCGTGGCGGGCGGGCGGAGCGTGGGGCCGGGCGCCGGCGGCGCGGCGGNGTGCCTGTTTAAGGGAGTTGTTTGGGAGTTGCACAGCCAGTCCGACGGGTTGCGCCGGAGCCCCAGCTTGTCTGGGCCGGGAGAAGAGCTCGCCTTGCCTCTTTTCTCGGCTCCCGCTCTCCCCCACGTCCCTCCCGCCCTCCTTCCCTCCCCGCCTTGCTGCCTCCTGCCTTTTTCCTCCGTCTCTTCCCGGATCCTCCGAGAGGGGGGCCGCGGGGAGCCCGGCGGATGCTCCTTGGGCTCCCCAGCCCCCCCCGCCCCGGGCGCCCGCTGGTCTCGGCGTTGGGCTCGAACCGGAGGAAGAGGAGGAGAAGGAGGAGGAGGAGGAGGGCTGACACCCAGAGGGGGAGACACCCAAAAAAACTTTCCCAGCCGGTTTCCGGGACGTGGGGCAAGGAGGCGAGCCTGCTCGGCGGCGCGGGGCGGCCGCCGCGGGGGCAGCGGCGAGGGGAGCCCCTCGGCGGGGCGCCGTCGAGGCATGGACGGGGCGGCGGCGGCGGGCGGTCCTGCGGAGCCCACCCCGCGCAAAGGCGGCGGCGGTGCTGCCGAGGGCAGCAAGAACCAAGCGGGAAGCGAGCAGCCGCTCTTCTCCCTGGGCTTTGAGGCCGGCTACGCGCAGCAGCCGCAGCCCGAGGTGCGCCCGCGGAGGACTGCGGGGCTGGGGACAAGGGGAAGCGGCAGCCGGGGGGAAGGGAAGGGAAGAGAAGCGAAGGGAAGGTGAGGAAGGATGAGGGGGGGATCCCGCGCCCCCTCCCCTCTCTCCTCCTGCCCGTCTCTCCCACTCCCTCCCCGCCCCCCCTCTTTCTGCACCCCCCTCCTGGCTCCCACCCTCTCCCTCTCTCCGGATCTCTTTCTCTTTCACTTTTGCATGCCCTGCAACCTTTTAAAATGTTGCCCCTTTCCTGTGATTCGTCAGACGCAGCAGCATGTGCCCCCTCTCTCTCTCCCGCTCCCTCTCTCTCCCTTTTTGTCTCTCTCTCCCTCTCCCTCTCCCCCATCTCTGATTAGATACACTGATTCTTCATTCAATGGACGTCATTTAGAACAGGCTCTGCCTTGAGTTGCCTTCTCGCTTCACGCTCGATTTCCAGCCATTCTTCCCTTATTAAGTGTTCGTGTAATATTAATAGTCATGAATATCTGCTATTAGGAGTCTCCAGGAAGGCAGCAGATCTGTTATTAGGAGCTCAAGTGAAGCAGCAGCTAAGTCAAAGGAGAAAAAGAAAGAGTCAGAGGAAAAAAAAAAAAAAGGATTAAGAAACAAACACACACACGCTAAAAAAAAAAAAAAAAAAAAAAAGGAAAAAAACCGAAAAAAAAACAAAAAAAAAACCAAACCAAAAAAAAAAAAAAAAAGAAAAAAAGCAACCAAGTTTGACTCCTCACACCGCGCCAGGATAGAGAGCTCGCCTTGGGAACACCCGATGAAGGGCAGCAGAGATCGGTGCAAGTTCTGATGGATTATCGTGGCGCGCCCGCGGTGCAGGAGCAGCCCCGGCGCCCCGGTCCTGCCGCCCGCGCCTAGCGCCGGGCTCCGGCCGCGCTCCCTCCGCGCCCGCGCCGCGCCCGCACGGCTCCGCCGGGGGCTGCGCGCTTCGCCGGTCCCTTTCCTCTGCCTTTTTGTTATTTTTTTCTACCTTGACTTGTAACCCCCGACTCTTCGCAGATGTTAGTGCACAGTTTTTCGGCTATGGTGAGTTGCTTCACGTTTCTCTCGGAGGGGGTTCGGTGCGCGCTGGGTGTTGCTATTGTTGTCGGCGGTGGCAGTGGGGGTTTCGCACCCAGCTTTCCGAAGAGGGCTTTTTTTCCTTTCCTGCATTTTTATAAATTCGGTGGTTTACGTTTTGCCCCTTCTCTCTTTATTTTTCTTTTCTTCCCCCCCCCCCCCCCCCTTTTTTTTTTTTTTTTTTTTTTGTCTGCTTCGAGAGAAAGGCAAAAGGCTTTGCTTGGACCTTACCGCTTCGATTCCTTAACCTTGCCACCTGCAAAAGTAGTATTTTCGCTTTCTCGTTTCTCTGTTTCGCAACCGTGGTTCTTTCCTTCGAATCCTCCTCCGTGGAGGCCATTCCTTTTGCCCCAGACATTCATGCGGGCTCATCTGCCCGGTTTCGAGAGCAGGCAGAGCCGTGCCGAAGCGCCCGGGCTCCTTTCGGTGCCGCTCGCCCGTCGGGGCGGCGGCGCTTCCCCCGGCTGCCTGCCGCATTCCTCCGCTTCCCCGGCGGCCGGGCCGCCGCTGCCCGCTCCGCTCCCAAATCGCTCCCTGGCGAGCCCGGGGTTCGGCCGGGCACCCGGGGTTTGGCTCTCCCCGTAGGTGGGGGACCGTGGCAGTGCTTTCCCCCCGAAACATTTCTGAAACTCTAAGGGGGAACTACCGTTTTGTTTGGAGCCTATTTCGGCGTTTTCTGGTAACAAAATGGCAGTGGGCTTGGATTTTCTAGGGTTTTCTTGGGACGCGATCGGTAATGTCAGCGACAGTATTTATCTCGGCTCTGTTAAGGGCCGGAGGAAGGATTTTGGATTGTGGCAGAATTATTATTTCAATAATGCTCGCTTGTGAATTATTCTTTTTATTTGTGGGAAATACCTACTCCTGAAATGCCGGGGCACGATCTGTTGTGATTCCACGCTGTATCGCCGCAATGTTTTATTAATTATTATAAGCTGTCCTGTTGTAATTATTGCTTTATTGCTGTTATCATTATTGCCGTTATTATTGGTTTTTAAAAAACCGAGACTGCCTCTTAATAATTTGGGAAGGGAAATCAGAGGCAGAGAGATCTCCAGATCTGCTTTTCTCCGCCTCGGAGGCGATGATTTGCCCCCCATTGCCCTGTAGATGAAATTTTCTAGGCGATTTTGAGGAAAATCGGTTTGATATTATCTTTGTTTTTCTTTTCTCCTTTCCCCTCCCCCTCCTCCCCCTCCTGTGCCCCCTCCACCTCCCAACCCTC